CTGTCAACGCTCTCTGGTTTCATTTAAAAGAGTCGATCATCAGATATTGTCCAAGATTAACCTTCAGGGTGGATATAGCTCGCTAGCAGCCTCACACCGAGGACCTACCCACGTCATCATTTATCCAGAATGCTTTGTGTGCAAATAAAATGGCCCCGTCCGTGTAATATATTTTAAAACTTCTAGTTTAAAAAATAAAAACTGAACATCCTACAGTATTTTAGTCTTTATTTTACAGTTAAAATATATGTTTATCAAATAAAGTCTAATGTTACAACTAATCATGGATCCCTTTAAGAGTTTTGATCATTGTATCTGCGGTGCTATTTGGACTGAAATGTCGGGACTTTTTCCTAAAGGGAGATTTTTACTGCTTTGTCTCAGGTGTGTATCATCATAAGCAGCTATACCACCACAGAGGAAGAGAGGGGCAGGAAGAGGCAGGCTCCAGGTCTCAGGCTAGCCTCATGTGGAACGGAGATCCAGCCAATCAATACATGGCGAGAAGAAACTACGCAGACGGAGCTGGCGCCAGCACTCTGGAAGGGATGGGTTACAGGTACGCACGTCCGTTAGATCAGCAGCCTCGTGTGTGCTGTCATGGATTCAGATGATCTTCAATGTGTTTTTGATTTTTCATTATTGCAGTAGCAAAGGTAGCACGATGTCAAGGCGAGGCTGTAAGAAGACCGAGTCGTCAGGGAAAGGTGAGGAGAGTGGGCGTGGCCTGGAAACCCAGGTTCCCCTGGAGGACATGGAAAGAAACCAGAAGATTATGCAGTGGATGATGGATGGAGACAAACAAAGGAAGAGTTCTCATGGGTGAGTTATTTTAGCTCTATAAATGAGCAGAACAAAGCATCTTATTTCAGGGTTCATGCCGGGTCTTAAGTCCAAAAAAGAAGTCTGAAATTTGAAAATCTAAATTTTAGGCCTTAAAAAGTCTTAAAAACGCCCAGATTTTCATCCAAGCTCTTAAATTAAATTTTATCAAGTCTTAATTCTTTCTACTTTTGATCATTCCTGAGAACTGTTGGCTGCATAAATAAAGAAAGTTAAGAGTCTTAATCAAAGGTTGACCCGATCTGTCTTCATGAAGTTCTAAGTTTGCTACTGGTCATGATTAAACTACCAATCCCATGATAACTGCAGGTAAAAATGGCACAGTTTACTTCCATGTTTTTGACCTCTTTGCTGCTACAACCCCCCGCATACAGTGGATTATTTACCTGCTCAAAAAACAGAAGTTCAGTCATGTCCACTGCTTGTTGTTTAAACATAGGAAAGTGTGTTTTCAATGAGACTTGACTTGTTATCACTGATTTTTACACTCTGTTGAAAGCGGTTCACAGTAGTCAGATATGACCGTTTCATTCAAATAATGTAGTGTTCTTGTAGTAAAATTAAATATTCTTTAATAAGCATCGACCATAAGTTATCCTAACTTTGGTAAATATCATCTACCTTGCCGGCT